GATTTCCAAGATATAATGCAGTTCTTCAAAGATCACACTAGTCAACAAGTGAATTAACATTTAAAAGAAAAGCCCTAAGTTTTATGTCATTTAAACATAAAATTTATAATCGAGTCCTCCCATATCAGCTCATATTTTCAAAGGATTATTAGGTCCTACTAACCTAATAAAGATAGCAGAAAAAGCCAGGTTATTTTCATGTAGTTTAAGTTACAAAAGTATATCATTTTCCAAGAAAATCTTAAGATATATGTTGTAATACTGTTCAAATCACTAGCTAGTCTCTTGAAGGTTATACCAAAGATGTCAATTATTATAATTACTATACTTATCATTATTTAATTCCAAACATGTCAACATTTAATTAATAAAATTTACAGAAAATAACTATTTAGATAATATAACAAAGTACTTTGTTATCACCAGAAACTTTTAAAGCAAATTTTAGCTATTTTATATTTAGAAGATTTGTAGAGTGAAGTCATTACACACATTAACTACATGGATTCTGACAAAGCAGAAGTGATTAAATTATTAGACTAAGGCAACAATAAATGGTTCTGAATCAGTACTATCAGACATTCTTAAAAGCCTAACATTTGTTTCAATTGCTATATAGTCACCGTTCAAAACAAATTTTATCTTTATTTTAAAAAAATCATGACAAAACCAAAAGCCCCAAAATATTTGAATATTTAAAAATCATTAATTAGAAGAATATTAACAATTTCCTGATCTCTTTTGCTGTTAATTGGCTCAGTAAGTGTGGGTCAAAGAAAACAAAACTACATCAGATTAAATCATTAATAAAATATGTAAAGAATAAAATTGCTCTTCTTTAAAACATTTAAATGGTACTTTGTGAAAGCAAGCCAATTATAAAGTGTGATTTTAGAGTTGACGAAGACTAAGAAATTTTGCCTAGTTAGTAGCGTAAAAACACTAATACGCTACAGGAAAATGATCACTCAATGACAGTGTCCATTTGTAAGAGATTCACTCTCCACTTACTCCACATAAAGATAATAATCTTTATGATTCATTACAGCATAAGATAGTAGGTTGATCCTAGACATAGATTTATATTCACTATATATGTGTGTGTGTATACATCCACACACACACACACACACAATTAGCTTTACCCACCTCTGCCGCTATTATTCACATTAATTTTTTTTTCTTCATTTCTAGCATTAAATTTCCTCCAGGACAGAATACAGATTACTTTTTAATTAAGAATATAGAACCTAAAGAACAATTATTTAGGCAGAAGAAAACATTATTCAATAAATAGACTCTTTGTAGAAAATGTTTTAAGAGAGAGGTTATTAGAAACTGATTTATTTGAATGGGCTGAATCTCAAAAATCAAATCTTAGTTCTATACTGATTCAATACTCTGTATCGTTTAATGTTATGTCAGTGTCATACATAAGGAGTGAACTACTATTTATTTAGAAAATTATGTTTGAGGAAATACACCACAGTAAAAAAATTGAAATTTTGTTCCCAAATATTTAGCATCATTTAAACAAATCTACATGATACTTCTTTCCAAAATACAGAAATCGTATTGTTTTTCCTTATAAACTCTCTATTTAACATTAAAAAAAATAAGTAATGATTAGCAATGATCAAGAAAACAGAATCCTATAGTAAGAATGCTTCGAAAGTAGTTCGCAAATATTTTTTTGGCTTCTAACAATATCCCCAAAGAAATGAACAATAACTGCTCAGAACATATAGGTTTAACAGGCAAAAAATTTTCAGTTAGCTTCAAGCTTTTCCAGTGTATGGAAAGTAGGAAACAATATATCAAATACTAGTATGTAGAGTATGAATCCATTTGTACTAAAAAATGAATACACACAGAAGAAAATCTGGAAGGAAAGACACAATGGTTCCTCTAGGCAGATGAGATTATGGGTATTTAATTTTCTTTTTATTATTCACTTTCATAAATAGGTATAAACTACTTTTGTAATTTAAAAAAGGAACTTATAGGGGAAAACACTATTTAAAATGATTCTCAATCATTTTAAGATAAAAGCAGAAGAAAAACACAAACACCAAAAGGATACCCTCAATTCCAAGAAAATACATGTATTTTACACATTACATGAAACTACCTTAGTTTTGCACTGTACAGATGGTCCTCACTTGCAAGTATCTGGTGTGGAATGTAGAAACCATACAAGAGAAAACAAATGTAACAACCTTTAAGAATCAAACACATTTTAGCTAAGGTTTAATTTTGGTGTAGCATGAACATTTATAAACCAATTTCTTAAAACAAAAGAGAGAGGATTATCTGTATATTTTTATTCTAGAACTGCTCATTTTTAGCTGCTATACTATCACAAATGGTTTTGGATTACTAAATTACTTCCTCATACAATATATGCCCAAAGATACCACACTGTTGCATTTATTCATAAGAATTAAATACCTACTGCCAGGCTTTGTGCCAGCTACTGGGGATGTGACAAGAGCAGATAGTCTCTGGTCTCATGAAACTGTCAGTCTAGCTGGGAAGAGAGATTATAAGCAATTACAAAACACTGATAAGTAGTGTTAAGAGAACAAAGTTGAGACTGTGATGGCAGATACCTCTAGCTTTAAGGTGGCTTTAAAGGTGGCTTCCCAGAGGAAGTGTGTTTAAGCTGAGACCTGAAGGCTAAGAAAGAGATAACTGTGAATTTGTGGGAGAAGAGTTCAGACAAATGAAGCGTTTGCAGAGAAAGTGTAGTTTTTTGGAAACTGAACCAAGTTCATTCTAGCTGAAGCATTGGGAGGGGAGGTGGTCTTATTGAGAGATTGTAAATCTCACTGTTCAGTTTCTTTCCTAAGTCCTTAAGTAGTGAGACAGTAAGATTTGTGCTTTACAGACTTCTGGGGCATCATGTATGCAGTAGGTTGTAGGCATATAGGAATAATGCCAGAGTCAGGAGACTGCTAGAATAATGTAGACTAAGATACTGGCAAGAGAGGTAAAGAGGTACAAAGAGAGAAATTTAGGGGGATGCACGAATAGGATTTGATAAATGATTTGGTGATGGTTCAAAGCTGACTCACAGGTTTGTGGCTCGATAATTGCTGTGGGGTGGGGGATAGGGTTGGTGGAGGGGAGTGAAAGTAGAGAATGAGGTCAATTCTGGATGTACTGAAGTTAGAATGTCTACAAGATACCCCAATGGATGTTTCCAGTAAGCAGTTGGACATATAATTTATGAGCTAAGAGGTTTAAGGTAAGATATGTATTTGAGAATGATAAACATACAGTTCATTGTTTTTTACAACCTTAAAAAGAAATCCACATCCATTTGATCAACCCAGAAATGGCCTTCCTTCCACCTCCAAAGTGAGAACAATGGTAGATGGTAAAGGAAGCCATGAGAATAACCATTTTTCATGAAAATGGTAGAGAAAAGACTGTAAGATAGAAACTTGAAGAACGTTTAAGGAACAGGCAGAGGAACTTTCAAAAGATACTGAAAACTGAGTTGGTTCCTCCCCTTTACTGTTTTCTTAGCTTCTATTCTTAGTGGAAAAGGAATCTAAGTGGCTAAGGAAAAAAGATATGACCCTTCTAAATCTTTTGTAAGCTTTAGAACCTGCCTCTAAGAATGGTATCAATCTTCATTTCTATTTTTGTTGCAGATAAGCTGTAGTTGTACAGAGAGGAACTGGTGAGTGTACTGCAGGGCAAGTTGATAGGTGAGGTAGGTCCTCATTCACTGTTCAACTAATTTTATACAAAGGGCTAGTGAAGTTTTTCTCTTTTTTTAATGAAAGTAGAAAAGTAAACAGATGCTAACTTTGCTCCTGACTCCTAAAGTGAGATCTAATTCCAGTTCACGCTCCATGTTGCAAGTTTGGTTGATAAATGCAATATAGTAATTCCAGAAGCAAGTAATTCTGATAATTAAGTATATACCAGGATACCCATGACAACTCTTACTCTAGAAAATACTTTGGATCAATTCTTAGCTTTGGTGTAAAGCCAGTGTCACAACAATCTTGCCTGAATACAGGACATTAAGAAAAAAAAAAAATCCTGGTTTAAATCTGAATAAAAACATAGAATACTGTAAAGCATAAGAATCAACACGAGTTCAAGTGTATTCGAGGGCTGAATCCTTATTCAGACTACTGGTATCTCCCATCTGAAAACTTTGTAGTTCAGAGAATAGTAATTTGTATGTCAAAGCAACAGTATATAACAAGATTTGTGTCTACGGCCATGCCACCCTGAACAAAGCAATACTATATAACAAAATTTGTGTCCACGGCCATGGCACCCTGAACACGCCCAGTCTCGTCTGATCTCAGAAGCTAAGCAGGGTTGAGCCTAGTTAGTACTTGGATGAGAGACCACCTAGGAAGACCAGGTGCTGTAGGCTTAAAAAAAAAAAAAAAATTGCTATGAAAAATACTGGCAGCCATGGGGCTACACTTTCATAGAACTTCTGGTACACAGTAACTATGCCATTTTGTGTTTTATGATTAATTATAGTCTATAAAAGAAAATACTGTGGTATATACAGTTGACCCTTGAATATAAGTTTGAACTGTATGGGTCCACTTATATGCAATTTTTCTCAATAAACACTGAAAATATATTTTCTCTCCCTTATGATTTTAATAAGTTTTTTCTTGTTTCCTTTATTATAAGAATATAGTATATAATATGTATACAAAATATGTGTTAATTGACTATATCATTGGTAAGGCTTCTGGTCCACAGTAGGCTATTAGTAAAGTTTTGGGGGAGTCAAAAGTTGTATGCAAATTTTTGACTGCAGAAGGTGAGGGGGTCAGTGCCGATAAGCCTTGTGTTGTTCAAGGGTCAGCTGTACTGTTTTGTACTTAATTTTTACTCAAGTTGATTTTAGCATATTATTAAGTCAGCAATCTGACCCAGAGGAAATTATGACTGTCATATTTGAAATATTATTTAAAGTACAGTATTGAAAAATATACTCAGTATACTGAATATAAGATATGCAGCATTTATTTTCATTATAATTGGTGTTGTTACTGAACCAATCAAGTTATACTACAAATTAGCATACAGTGTTTGGGGAGAAACTTTTTATTCTATACTCCTGTTACAGAATAAAAAAGGAGGGGGAATAGTGTGTCACAAAGTTTTATAACAATTTTCACAGCTAAAAGAACTGGAAATTAAGAGGAAAAGAATGACAATAGGAGTAAACACCTACTTACAAATGTCCAGCAATACTGTTTCCATCTGAATAGAGAAAACAAAAGTCTATACTGAAAGGTAAGTAGTACATCCAAACGGATTGCTCCAGATGAGTCAGATGCTTGTGATTCTATTTTTTTCCCTTTAAATCAATAAAGGCAACTGACATTACCATCTTGTTCTTAAATAAAAAGATGACTAACAAAATATTAACTTAAATTTTGCTCTTTCAGATTCCTTGACTGATTTAAGCAATTAAACATTTAAATGATTTTTTATCAGTATTTAATAGCTAATAATCATTATTCAGTTATCCATCAATATTAATTATATCAATAACTTTCCAAATATAAAAATGTTCTCTGAGAAAATTACTATTTCAAAGGCCAGAAATAAAGCCCTGAACTCACACAATTTTTAAGGTTAGGACATGACATGTACCAAGTAGGGAGATTAAGATTTTATTCCTCAGTAGCCCTTAGACTTCAGTGCTGATATTAATGATTCCCCTAACTGAATATAGATATTTATATCCAGATTCTTGCATATCAGGATTCATGTAAATAATCTGTCAGTGACCTTTGAAATTACTGCCAAAAGATTAATTTTAAAAACCATCTGCTAATGTTTGCTTCCTAACTTTTAACACTTATTCTGATCATGATCACTTATTACAAAATCTGTTCACTTTATTCCTAGTAGAAACAATTACTCGATTATAACCGTCTATCACCCCAATAATCTACCTGTCTCTAGACTTGCAAAGTTACCAAAGTCCAGTTCAGAAAACCTAAGAAGGTAGAAGAGGTAGTAAGACATAGAGACCTTGGGGAGTCCCTCAGTTCTGTATACTGCTTAGTAGCACAGCAACAAATGAGCAATGACAGCAATTGTCCTAATCTAGGTCAATACAACAGCCAAAATACTTTGTAAATACTTCCTTTGGCTCCTTCTGGAGATCAACGCTGTTCTGATTAAATAGTGTGAGGAGTGCTTAATAGCAACAGAAGGTTCAACAATAGTTACTTTTCTAACATCTTTTATCCAGGAATCTTAAAATCACCTAATATTAATCAGAACTCAGCAACTGAGAGAGGTAGGTACTAAGGCAAACTGCAAAGGTCAAGAACAGAAATTAGGAGTGTGTGCTATTGCATTATCTTTGTGAGCTAAAGACTTTGCTGCCTAATATAGTTCCAAATATATAAAATGGAGTGTTATCTACTCTCCTTCAACAAACCCAGTTAGGCATAAGAACTCAGTGTTAACAGGATAGTATCTTTTCTTACTGTGTTTCATTTGTATTTGTATCTAGTTTTTACTGGTTTGATTTATTGAAGTTTAATTTTTAGAAGATACTGTTTACTCAACGATCTTACCTAGAGAAGATTATAGTGACACAGTATTTTAGATATATTATTTTTAATGTTATATTACTTTAAATATTAAATTAAGAGTCTATAGTATCACATACCAATTATTTGAGTTATCTTTCTATCTGAGGTGAAGAGTTTATGCTAGGCTATACATACCATCTTCCTTGCGACCAAGAGGTGAATTTGTGAGATGGATACCTAAGAGAAGGTGCAATTTGTAGCCATGAATAGTTGTGTATGTGTATAAAGTTAATGAACCTATAAAAGGATTGAGCTCCTGTCCTTAACCTCACTAGCGCCATGCTCTGAATTAACTAGTTCAAACTGTTAGATAAAGCAGTGATACTAAAGGAACAGGAACAAAGAAAGGTTGTATTTCAACATCTTAAGGTTTCACAGAGATTACGCAGGTTTCCGATTCAAATTCCCACCTTCTAAAGAACAAGTTCTTAAATAACTCTCAAATCACAGACGTGCAGTAATCTGAAATTATTCTAAAGATTTAAGAAAACAGCCAATTACTACAATTGATATTCACTATGAGGAATACATAGCTATATAAAATATAGCTACACAAAAAGAGAATTAAGTGAAACATTTTTAAAGTTTTTAAAGCAAGAAAGATGCTTGTTTAAGATGCACATCAGTAGTCGCTAATTAGATAAAATGCTAAAGACTTACATTCAAGTGCTTGAAGGGATTACTGCATAGAAATGTGATTGCTAAAAATCTTTGCTGAGATGCCTCTTAGGCTCATTAAAGATGAGATGATGTGTGAACCAGTAATGGTATTTAAATACCAATCACTTTCAAGATAGACTAAGATATACAGCTGTGAAGACATTCCACAAGTGGGTTCACTGACACTAGAAATGGTATTAAAAAAAAAAAGACCTCATACAGTCTGCTGGCATTTCATATCAACCATTGGAGGAGGTAGTAATATAAAGTGTTAGAATTTAAAATAGAAAGTCAGTACTAACTGTAAACATTTCTAAAGCATTGTATGTAATTCTTTAAAACATATGTAGTGAAAAAGAATTAGAATTCATATAAAATCAGAATTTAAAAAAGCAAAAAATAAGAATATTTAGTGAATTTACTCAAATGAAGGAAGATTAAATGATACAGAATTGAAAATATTAGAAATCTATATACAATAGAAAGTGAATATAAATAAGCCAAATCCATGAACATTTCCAGCTAAGCAGTCATACAAATACATAGTCACTTTTTTCTTTATATAGGAGTAACACATACATACATGACATGATTCTGGCAAAAAAAAAAAAAAAAAGTCAGAGATATTAAAAATATTCTCAAGTTTTAAAGATGATGTGGAATAAGTTTTACAACAACATTCTACATGAATGGAAGCCCCTGATTTCATTCCATGATTTTATCATGCCAGAAGCATGGTTGGTTTTAATTTTTTTTTAAAACAGATATTGGTATCATATACATTGGCTTATTAATTAAGGCATTTTGTGTACACAATATCTCAGGGTGGACAGAAATTTTTAGTATTGATTATCTGTTATGGTGTTTTAAACTTTCAAAGTCTTTTCAACATAAGAAAATAGCTGCACACATTTGAGTGTTTTCTTATAAAACACAGTCTTAAAAAAAGTAATGATGATTGGTCTTTGTGGTTCCTAATAATAAATCCTTATTTTTTCACATAGTATAAAATATATTCTTATGCGGGACTGCATTAAGATCCAGTAGTTCTTAAACAATGTTACCAAATAACCATATTAATCCCAAATGCAGCAAAGGTGAACAATTTTCATAGTGCACTTTCACCTCATTGAAGCTGAAGCTGCTTCTTTCGTATATTTTTCCACTTCAATGTGAAGTAGATTGTTAGAGTTTTGCTAGTGGTTTCATTCTGTTGCTTAAAAAAAAAGTTTTTGATTTCTTCCACAGTTCACAGTTCTCTGATGAGACATTTCGGAAATTATATGGTTCAGGGATGTTTTGAATACCAAATGCTCTTTAGTAGACGAAGTCTCTCAATGCAACTGTAATAAATAAGCATCTACATCCTTAGAGAATAAAACAAAAACATTTCAATTAGCTAGTACAGTAAATACACATATACAATCCATTTCCTTCTCCCTTTTTGTCACCTAATTTGCCTTAGTTTCCCTCTGTAACCTCTGGAGGGTAAAAGATGTGTCTTACTCAAATTTTACTCTGCATTTGTTTAGCACAGGGCCTGGCGCACAGCATATGCTCAATAAATGTTTGCTAAGTGCTGAGTAAATGATTTGGTTCCTGTGATCAAGCAACTCTGCTTTTATAGCTAGGCAAGATCATTAAATCACTCATGACAATTCCTTCAGTTTGATGATAGCCTGAATTTCTACCCTCAAGAAAACTGCAATTGAGGGTGTAATATTATAAAAGAGGTTTTAGCATAGCTCAAGGAACTTCACAGAACTTTTAATCACTCAGTATTGTCTTATCTTAATCCCATGTTCACAATAAAGCTTCTCTTTATAAAAAATTACACTCAAAAGCAAATTTCTAAGGAAACAATAATTTTTCAGTTCTATTGCCAGATTATAAGACCCTTCCAAAACAATGTGATAAATCATGTACACTCTAAAAGTATTCCATTTTCTATTAGCTTTTACACTTGTTTTTCTTCCATTGTCAAAAAATCCAACAGGAAAAACGTCTAGGAATTTGATTTCTATTTATAAGACTTTCATCATTAAGAATTCTATATAGTAAAATTATGCATAGTTGTAACACGCTTGGTTGATATATCATTTTGCTTTTTTCTTGAAAGTATCCAAGAAGAGTTTTACAAGTAAGTCCATAATATAAATCCACTTATTTAGAATATATTTTTAACCAAAGAATGCTTCTATATTTCTGGTTAATGCCCATTTATGATAGCAGTTTGCTCTGTAAACAGGTGGAAGTATTCCTTAACAATGACATTCTTCCTTGCAATTATATGTATTTTATATACCAATGTTTTCTGGAGTTTAAATATTAAAATCCAAACTAGCAATGTATCTTTTCCTTTAAGAGACAAGCAAATCAATAAAGACTAATGTCATATTCATACTATATTTTCAACAGTTTACCTTCCCCAAAAGCATAACATTAGCAAAAGCCAAGTAAAAAATAATACCTCCAAACCATTTAATTATATTCCTCATCTTTTGCTTCCTGAGTGTCACTATCTTTTCGGATGGCTTCTTTACCTGGACTTTTAACTTTTTTCAAACATTTTTATTTAATTGGAACTAGGTCATTAAATAACCTCTAGCACATTATTTCTATAGCTGTATCTGAAACGCATTTAACGGCTAATTCTTGTGTTCCCTGCTAACGTCACATTCATATCCAGAAGACATGTGCAATTATAAAATTGACTTTAGACTTTATTGAAACAGTACTGAATTATTTTGTTTAAAGATCTAAAAGTGTTCATTTATAAATGCATAATACTAAAATATTTTTTCTGAATTTATTTAATTTTAAATATTGAGTTTAACCTTAAGTTTTTAAGTTTAGCTATATTATAGATTACCTTAGCTATATTACCAGTATATCCTGGAACCAAAGTAAGATGGTTTTCTTGTTCCCACAATCCACTTAATTGTTGTTTTAAAATCTGAATATTTCTAGGAGAAAAAAGAAAAATGAAAATACACATATAACATGATGTGGACTTTGGTAGTGAATGCATTTAATAAAAACAGTTTAAAATTTTTCAAGTATTTATCAGAGAAAATCATACCATTTGAAGTAAAGCAACCCTTTAAAATAGTACATGCCAATCATGGAAATTAAAGGTTACTTAGTTGTTAATGCCAGTAAGAAAACAACTAGGTATTTGAAGCATTTAGACAACCTGTTCTTGGGTGCGAAGGGGGAAATTCTGAGAGACCAAAAAGAAAACTATGAACTTTAAGAACACTGTTGGGAGTTACTTTTGATAACTCATGATAATCTGGCTAATTTCGTAGAATACTCACACATTTTCACATCAAAACTCTACTCAAATTATGACTGTAATACAGGTTTTAGAACTGTAATCATCCACATTGGATTTACAGGTTAATGTCTAGGTAGTTAAAGGACTCTGCAGGATGCCTCCATTCCTGGGCCTTATTACTAATATTCACCTCTTTTTCTCTCCCTTAGTCATTATAATGGATAAGAGGGTTAAACCACTGCTATGCTTTTTCCTTCTAAAATGAAAAGTACGGTTCTGCTAGAAGAAGAGATGCAGTGGGTTACTGGGCTCTGGAATTCAACATCCATGTGTAATTTTCACATGAATAGTATCCCAATTTAATTTTTCTCTGAAAATGAAGAGAAAAAATATTATATAGTGACAATTATGGATTAAAAATATCACCTAATTTAATCAGGCAGCTTTTCTAGAAAAAAATTCTAGTAGCATATGGTTATCTTTAAAGGTATACTCACCCATCATTTATAATTTCTGTTTTAGATGAGAGTTCTGACCACCATCTTTTTATGACTGCTTGAAGCCAGTTTAAACCAACTATTATATATCTGAAATGACATTTTGTTACAAAATTAAAGTGTTTTCATCCAAGAAGCCTTTACAAAAAAATAATACTACCCCCTACTCAAAAAACACATACATACACTGATCTTTCCTCTTTTAAAATTTTTATTTCACTACTTTCATAAAACTATATTTTATGTAACTTGTTTATAGATGCTTTTGTAATTGTTCTTTAGTCACTTCTTAGTCAAATTCTTTTCCTAACTGTACTATAAGCAACTTGAAAACAAAAACCGGGTATGTCTCATGGAGCTCAATCTACTGCTATGCACTCACAAAGCACAAAATCAAGAACACTGGAAGACAAAAATGGGGATTCAGATTAGCACTTACTCTTCAAATTTGCTTTTAAGCAGTGATTTTACTAGAGGCAACAAGTCTACACAGCAGCCGAGTGAGATGTATTGTTTTTCTTCCTGTAAACTAAAATTAAGAAATAGTAAGTTATAAAAATATGAACAGGCCATAATTTGTCCTTCTTTAAACTAATTTATTTTCTGAAAAATATTTTTTACCTATTGGTGAGCACAGGAAGGCAATCCACCACCACTCCAAGGTCTTCTATCCTGTGAGTACGAAAAGAATAGTACTGCTATGATAACCTTCAACTGCTTTTGAAATATTCATTCATTCAGCAAATAATCCAACTGTCTATTGGTTACTCTTCAACTAGCGATGAATGTAATTTAAACCATATTTCTCTACTGAAGCTAAACATAGGAAGTTTAAAATTTTAGCCAGTAATAACATAAAAAAGAAGAGGCAATTCTAGATAGCACATTGGAAATTACTTTTATTGAACAAAAAGCATAAAAGGGCACACTTACCTCACCAAATAAGCTACAAGTTCACTTATACTTCTCTTTTTCCAGAAAGTTAAAGCTACATTCAATCTCAAATTCCGGCTGAATAAAACTTGTGCCATTGTTTCATGGTCCTGAGAAACCTGCAAGGCAGTAATCTAATTTCTTAAAAAGAACATTGGAAAATTATATAAAACCATTTTTTCAAGTAAATTATTCTAGTAGACATGTATTTTAAAACTATACAAAGGTGACTCCTTTTACTCACCCATACAAAAAATACTGCACTTGAACATAGTAAACAAATGATTTGAATAAATTTAGAACCTATTTCTTTACCAAAACTTTTTCTTATGTGCTACCATATTTCTTTTAAATCTCAATAATTTGTAAAATAAATTATTTTTAGCTTATCTATAAACCCAGGATTCAATTTATAACATAAAGGAAAAGGTAAACATATAGGCTAGTTATTGCCTATGAATAGCATGAGAAAGGAATTACAACGATTCAGTTCTGTGACAAGTATTTAAATTCATTCATTCATTCTTGTCTATATAATAGACAAGAATTCCTGTTGTAAGAAGTTTAAATGCCAGTAAGAAAACAACTAAAAGTAAATACTCTCTACCTGCTCACAAAACACAAACTAAAAGTAAATATTCTCTACCTGCTCACAAAACAGCTAATGTTACTGCCCAGAAATAATCACCATTGACAGACTGATATGTATCTTTTCAAACCATTTTCTAGATAAAGACAAATTAGATACACATGAAATTTAAATATTATAATATCTATATTTTTGAAAACCTTGCCTTTTCACTTATTATAAAGATTTTTCAAAGTCAAAACACAGATCAATCTAATTTTTAAAAAACAATTAACTATATTATGCTCCAGTCTTTATATATCATAATTTCTTTAGATTAATTCTGGTTTTTCCCTATTAAAACTATGCAATGAACATCCTTATGTATGTAAATATATACACTTGTACAAATGCTTCTGTAAGGTTAATTTTAGAACTAGAACAGCTATATCAAAGATTATGTGATTTGAACTTTGACAACATAGTATATTATCACTTTTAGATTTGGGTTTTTTAGAGCAAGCACTAGTCAATCAGGAAAAAGGTTCTGAAACAACAAAAGAGCATTCAATAAATCTATTAGTTAAGTGTGAGGCTAAGGCTTGTAAAAAGTAATCAAATCAGAAAGCAAAGCAAAAAGATGGCCTTGAAAAAAATGTCTTACACTGTGTCTTACACTAAATCAAATGCACAACTGAAATTTTTTTATAAAAGGCATTTGCAGTCAAAATATTTATTCCCTCAGTTCAACTGAAGAACCAACCTAGGTTCCATCAAAGCCAGATTTCTGGGTTAGATAGTCACATATTCTTTTCCTTTAAGGTATGCAGTTTTTATAATTATCTGATTAGTATTAGCCTCATCACTTCTATAACTACACAAAAGTAGGGGCAGTGTCCGTTTTTCACCCACCAATCTATTTCCATAGAGCCTTTAGAATGCATTACACGGTATGGAACCCTCAATAAATATTTGTGAAAGAATTGGTATGACAGTGATTCTCTTTAACACTGAAGTTTAGTTACCATCCTATTCTCCAGGGTCCATGATAATTCACTATTAAACCAAATTCTCCTTGCTTCCTCTTTTCTCACAGATACTGTACACACTTCCTTCACTCTCCTGGCAATACTAATTTTCTATTACTCCAGGATCTAATTTTTACAAGAACGTCTTCACTAGCAAAAAGATTCTTTTTTGTATAATTTCATTATGGTTTTAGTTAATAAACTTTATTTTCTACCTTCCTTTCATCTTATTTACTTGTAATTATTATCCTAAACATGATGCTCATCTTCATTCACCTATACATGCTTATGACCATTTTAATTAAAATTTTTTTCCTGCTTTTATGCCATAGAAAATGCTATTTAAGCTGTCATGTCAGAGAGAAATAATACTAAGTTTACAAAATCATAGTTAAAGAAATTAAGGTACATTCAAACAATGTAATGTTATGTATCTATTAAAAATTTGTAAAAGTGTTATTTAATCACATGGAAACACATCTAAATTTATTAAACATCAAGTTATCAAATAATATGTAACGTATACAGAAAAGATACAAAAAAAATTTAATGCTGTTATTTCCAAATGTTGAGATTACAGATAATTTTTTCTTTTGGGTTTATTTTCTGAAACGTATACAATAAACATGTAATAATTGTTATTATAAACTCATGTGTGTTTCCAAATTTTGACAAATCATTCCTTCAAATGACCATTTTTATAAAAAATAGCTTTTTTGAGGTATAATTTATATACCATAAAACTCACCCATTAAAAGTAAATAATTCAATTATTTTTAATCGATTTATAGAGTTGTGAAACCATCATAACAATCTAGTTTTAGAATGTTTTTATCACCTTCCCTCAAATTCCCTTGAGCCTATTCAAACAACTAATTTTGCCTGAGCCTGAGGAGCAGCACAAAGCAGGTTTGCCGAAACAAAGCTTCTACTAGGCAATTTTGAGAGCCAGACAAAATGTGCCTGCGTAACTGGCTTTGGTGGACCACATTTTAGGCAGGACTTCTTTTCCCTTCCTTTAATCTCTACTGGCCTGCCCGCCATTCAGCAGCTTGTCAGTCATTTCAATCCATCCCAGATATTACTAACTTAGAGAAATGGAATAAGCTATTGATTCAAATTTGGTTAATTTGGAAAGTCTCAAGGAGTTACAATCACTCAAATAAATCTCACTAGGTGACAAATTATTCTGCTAGCAGTATATGGCAAAGAAAAAAAAAAACCCAACTGAATAAACAAGAGTAGAGTTAAGTTTATAAAATTACTTACCTCAGAAAAAAACCCACTATATTTTGATGATGGGCTTTCTGTCTGTGAAGAACCAGAATCTCTGGAGTTAAGCAAATATGTTCTACTATCATGGTATAATTTTTCAGGCAGGTGGCCAGCACAAGCCAGTTCATTTTCTTTATTTGCCATGTCACAGCCCCCACTTCTAGGGGACTGTTTTTTTTTGTAACAAGGATTTGAAAAAGGATGATGAACTTTCTTTCTGTGATAGATCACCTTACGTAGTTTATCCGGGCTTTTCACAGCTTGTCCAACTGTTCTATAAAAAGAATTGATTTTCTTAAATGAAAAAGAACAACATAAAGATCTTTAAAATTCTTTAAATAAACAATTTAATAGGCCACATTTTGTGATCACAATCCATTAAAATTAGAATTTAAAAAATCTCATCAAAGAGGGAAATTACAAGCCATCTGAAAAGCAATGAAAAGGATGATACTTTATACCAAATGAAAAGAGGCATAACTAGATGCTTTTAAAATGAATATTATAGGCCATTCTGGGAGTAAAAAATTATAATAATTTCTAGCCACCTAAACTTTTTCTAACAAAACGACAAATAATTATACATGTTTGAATATTTTAAAATTTAAGTTGAAGTACATTTAATTTTGTTTGAATAAAATAAACCACAATAGAATACATCTCATGGTTTACTATAGTGGTTCTCAAATGTTTTGGCCTTAGGATGCTTTGTACTCTTAAAAATTCTTGAGATCTCAAAATAATTTTTTAATGTGGGCAATATCTATTGATATTTACTGTATGAGAAACTAAAACAGAGACAACTTATTTATTTAAAAAATAGGCTCATTACATATTAACAAAATATTTTACAAAAAAATCCCCTATATTTTCAAAAATATATATATACACACAGTAAGAAGAATGGCACTGCTTCATATCTGCAAAATCTCAAACTGGTTTAACAGAAGATAGCTGGATTCTCCATTGACTCTATTGTGATATCAAATATCATGCAGCCTCTGGAAAATTCTACTGTATACTTGTCAGAGAATGAAAACGAAGAAGGTGAAAAATGTCGTAGTATTGATATGAATATAGTTTTGACCTTAGAAACTCCATAAAAGGGACTCCCAGGGTCCCAGATCACACTTTGAGAACCCGTGGTTTAGAATAAAATTCAGCAGATCTGAGAATAAATGCCATTTTTGCCACTTTCTGGGTATGTAATCCTGAACGAATCACTTCTCTGATCTTTAGTTTTTCTCATCAACTGTTAGGGGACAATGATAGCTATCTAGTAGGACTATTGCAAGGATCAGGGATAATACCGATGTGTTTAGGCCAGTAACTGGCCCAAAGGAGCTGTCTGACAATAAATTAACTATTATTATAATAAAAGAGAATATTTATTTTTTAATTCTTACCCAGCTTTCAATATTTGCAGTTTCCCAAAACTTCAAAGATGCTCTTACCTATTTATGTAAGCAGCCAACTGTTTTGGAGATTTCTTAACCTGAAAAATAGATAGTTGTTGCATATTTAAATTCTTTAATAAAGCTATGTAAACTTTGTGATTGATATCAACAAATCTGAAATTCAACAGTTTTCAGATTAAAGCTTTTTCTGTTCTAATATTTTATTTCAACCATTAGTTACAAGAACATTGTATACAGATGTTTCTGATAGATCCATCTGCCTATTTTCCATGCCACTAGTTGCAGATACTCACAGGGTACTTGCTTAATAAGTTGAATTTTAATAGGCTTAAAAGAAATCATATCAATGTTAATATGCCTTGCAATGGTGAACAAAAAGCGCCTCTGAGATTCCTCTTTGATATTAAACTAAAATATTAAAATTATATCATACCAAAACAATATACTGGCCAAAAAGTTTTTAGAGCTTTTGGAATATAAAGTTTTCAATATTTAATTCTACTTAATTCCAGCAAGTTAAACAGAATTAGTATCACCTGTCATTTAAACTATTTAACCAGAACTACTCACAGACCTAACAGTTTAAACTGTGATGGCTGAAAGACTGTATCTCTCCAAAATTCATATGTTGAAATCCTAACCCCCAAAATAATGGTATTAGGAAGAAGGGCTTTTGAGAGGTGACTGGGTCATAAAAGTAGCGCCTTCACGAATGGGATTAGAGCTCTCATAAAAAGAGACTCCAGAGAGCTCTCATTCCTTCCACCATGTGAAGAAAAAGCAAGAAGACAGCCATCTACAAACTAAAAAATGAGTCCTCACCAGATACCAAATCTGCTAGGGCCTTGATCCCAGCCTTCAGAACTGTGAGAAATAAATTTCTGTTGTTTATAAGCCACCCAGTCTATGGCATTCTGTTATGGTATTCTTAGCCTGAATGCACTAAAACTGTCTTACTTGCTACCTAGAAACCATGAACTTACCTCCTTCATGTTCTTATTAGTGAAATTAGAGATCCTTTTTCTAGGAAGATCAATGGGATGATCCTCAATATTATTACAAAAGTTTCGTTTTTTAACATTGTGGGTTTCAGATGCCATAATCTCTTGAATACCTAGACAACAAAATACAAATAAATGGAAAATACAAAAAGCACAAGAGCCTGATCGTTTCTTTAATACACATAAAAATACAACAGCTCCACACTACGTAAAAGAGGCTTGTAAGTAAAGCAGAGGACACAGTTCTGATTTGTACATTTTTAAAAACCTTAAACACAGAGGAAGCACAAGGCAGGGCATTCCAGGAAATTAAGGCTCTTTCTGTTCTCATTCTTTTTAGTTGCAATCGGTAACAATAATATGACATGTATTTTTTGCCAACGCAACATGCCAATCTCTTCATTTTCCATATCACTAGCCATATATTAAATTTAAATTTGCAGGTTATGAAATCAGTGTGTATAGTAGCAGTATCTATGTATATAGTTGTAGTACATGGCATCTAAATGTAGTGAAGCCTAAAATTTTGGAACCAAATCACATATACAACTACAAGGAGCCAGAGGAACCAAAATAAAACTATATGTCTGACTTGTTTTTATGCCTAATCCCTACATTTTTGTTTCATTCTTGCAGCTAGCTCTCCAAAAGTTTCCTCTACCTCTGAAAAAAAATAATCCACACTCTCCTATTCTTCCAATTATATCTTACCCATGGACAGCCCTTCCACCTAGAGGTTAAGAAACCTTTAGGATGAGATTTTTTTTTAAGTAAATAAATAATTGCAGTAATACAATAAGCACTGATAGAGGGGCACCCACGTGAGTCAGCAAAGCTTCACTGAAGAGTCTTAAAGGACCAATAGCATGTGCAGAACTGAAAGGCATGAGGCAACAGTTTCTTTGGCAGTATCTAAGTAGATGCATGTGACGAGCTTAGGCTGGGGGTGAGTTGCAGCAGAGTGAGAAATGAGGCTGGAGAGACAGGCAGAAGCTAGATCGTAACGGTTCTGGTCTATAAGGCAAGCCTCTATTTATTTAATTAATTAAAAACATTTTTTTGAAAGAATGGGAGACTTTTTTTTTTTTTTTAATTATTTATGCCTACAGCACTTGGACTTCCTAGGTGGTCTCCCGTCCAAGTACTAACCAGGCCTGACCCTGCTTAGCTCCCAAGATCAGACGTCAGGCTTGTCTGGGGTGGCATGGCCGTAGACCATGGACCATGACTCCACTGGGGAGTGAACCCAGGAACTTCTGTATATAAAGCAGAAGTGCTAACCGCTACACTATGGAACCACATTCAGAAAGGAGGACTTTTAAAGATAGCAGGCTAAACACATGCAATTACTTCTACCCATTTCTGAAATCCCATTACACTGACAGTAAAGGGTTTTTAAGGACATAAAACCCATAGGTCAAAGAAGAGGAAGTAATGGCAACAACATTTTGGAAAATGAAAAGCAGAAGTGATAAATGACTTAGAAGATCTTAGAAAGCCAAATCTTAAATCAGCTGTGAGGAAAGGTGAAAAGCAGAATCCCTAAAACGTTCAGGAACTGGCAATACTGAGAACCTCAAGAAGAAGATAAAGTTGGACTTAAGAACAAGCATGACTGAATATCCATTTAAGACAGATCGCTAGATCCCCTTCTGAATTCCAGTAAAAGACTAGAAATTTACTGTATGGATAATTTTAAACACAGTCCTTGGGCTGGGAAACAGGTACAAATGACAGTGAGAGGAACATATTCTCAATGCCGGGCAGTGGGGAGAATCAAGTGAAAGTTTACATACTGTCTCGCAGAGGCTTGCAGGCAGGCTTATATACTACAGAGAAGAGTATGAAAGATCAATCACAGAGGGAAACACGCATCTACAAACACTGACATCAGTGATGGTCAAAATCCCCAAAGAACTGTTTTATATCTTGATTGTGGCAATAGTTACCTGTCAAAACTATGCAATAAAAAGGGTGAATTTTTATTATATGTACATTTATGTCTCAATAAACCTAACTTTCAAAAAAATCCTCAAGAGATAATAACAAACTGCACCCATGAAACACAAATGAGACAAAAAAACAAACCAACAAAGACTCTTGGAAATTAGTATTAGAGTAAACCCTTGTTTCTGTCAAATGAGTTAATCTGATTATTAAACAATCTATGAAAAATCAACTTTTTGGAATCCAACTCATCAATATATCTGAAGTTGCCTCTATCACAAATGAACCTTGAGAAATAAAATTGGAGAAAGGGATCTCTATGTCATTCATATTTTTAAAATAAATAAATATACTAGAATGATACTAATAGTTTGAAGCTAAATGACCCTATTTCATTAAGATATAACATTCTTAAAATAGTTGTAACTGATTTAAGATTTTATAAATTTTAAAAGATATGAATACTAAAGAATACCAGATGGAAAACTAATTTTGAAAGCTGAAATGGGTAGTGTGACAATAACAATAATTTCCAATAAAATAATAGTTACCACCATTTTAACACTGAACATTGAACTTCAGATGCTTTATATTGAGTATCTCATTTACTCATCAGTACAATCGCTGATGCAGAAATTATAATCTCCATTTTTAAAAATATAGATTTTGAGAAGTAACTTGTTCTAATGTACCAAAGACATTTTATATTTACACCAAAATTTGCCTTATTAATGGAGGACGGATTATAAAATTTCTCATCTCAAAGCTGTACTCTGCACTCAAGGAATGCTTTCCCCTCATATATTCTTATGCCTTGCGTCCTTATAATATTTTTAAGTTCTTGCTCAAATAAGCCCTCCTCAGAGTGGTGTTCCCTGACCCGCCCTCTAAAAATAGCACCTACCTTCAATTCTCTATCTCCGTAGCCTACCCTATCCTATTTTTCTTGATAATACTTACCACTACTAGACATATATATTTGTCTATCATGTCTTCTCCACTAGAATGTAAGCTCCACGAGGGGTGAGACCTTGTCTGTTTATTCACTGTTACATTCCCAGGGCTTACAACACTGCCTGACATATAGAAAGAACATAAACTATATGTACATGTTGAATGATTTAGTAAAAACTCCATTCTATACTATGTAAAACTAATGAGCTGAAACAGCTTTTACCTTGTCTTTAGTTTGACCTTTTCTAGTACGGACTACCAGAATCCTTTATCCATAGATTAACCCTACTTAATACACACATACACACACATACACACACACGCACATGCACACGTATGTATACATATTTTTCAAGCCTATAAAATGTGAATATTTTTCCTTTAGCAGATCACATTTATTGATAGTCTGTCTCCTATTTATATGGGAAAAATATTTATTTCTTCATAGGCTAAAGTTTTTTAAAAAACAATGTCACATTTTTTAAAAAGTTAAGGACTTTACATTACTAGAAAAATGCAAGTCAAAACCACATGAGATATTATTTCACAACCACTAGCATGGCTGTAATAAAAACAACAGATAATAACAAGTGTTGAGAGAAATGTGGGGAAACTGGAACCCTCACACATTACTGTGGGAATGTAAAATGGTTCAGTAACTCTGGAAAATAGTTTGGCGGTTTCTTAAAATGTTACATATAGATTTACCGTATCACCCAGCTATTCTACTCCTACATATTTATTCATGTGAAACGAAAGTTTATGTCCACAGAAAGACTTGTATGCAAATGTTCATAACATTATTCAGAATAGCCAAAAATGTGATAAACCCAAATGTCTATCAACTAGTGAATGGATAAAAAATATGTTGTATATTTATTTGGAATATTACTCAGCAACAAAAAAAGTGAAGTACTGATTCATGCTATAATATGTATGAACATCATCCTAAGTGAAAAACGCTGAACACAAAAGACCACATATTATATGATTCCCCTCATATGAAATGTCCATAAAGTAAAACCTATAGACATAGAAAGTAAAGTAATGGTTGCCTAGGGCTGGGGTAGAAGTGGGAATAACTGCAAGGTTTCTTTGAGGGATGATGGAAATGCTCTAAAATTTGATTGGGTTAATGACTGCACAACTTTGTATATAATTATAAACAGTAAACTGTACATTTAAATGAGGTGAATTTTATGGTATGTAAATTATAATTCAATAAAGCTTTAAAAAGTGAAGAAAATTATCAAAATTGTAATGGTAAAGTCTCATTACAAAGGATTTTTACACTACGAATTCCATTTTGCTTTATGCCTTATGCATTTGGTGGTACCTTTCTTGGGCAAGATATAAGATTATCCTTTTTCCCCAAGAGCATTTGACAGTGCTACTCAAATAGTTAAAGCAATTGTTGAGGCTCCTAGGAATTTCTGAAGTGCCATTTGGTAATAAACAAAAAGGGAATAATCTGAAGTGGGATCAAGAGTGGTTGAAGACAGTGATTATAGAAAATAGAATAATCTTTTAATGAAAAAAGAATAAAAGGAAATAAGGCCTTGAGAGATAAAGCAAAGGCTAAGAGATAGAGAAGAGACCAAAATACTAACTTAACTTATTCTGAACATTGGCTATAGTGTGTATTTTCTTAAAGACAACATGGTAATTGCTATGGATATTTTCCTGAGAAGGCAGAAAAACAGTGGCATGTAGAAGGAGCTGGAGGGATGAATTCCCTTTATATAGTACCTATCTCCTATCAGAAAGATGAAAAGAAATTTACTCATATAATTTACTACAATGGCTGCCAAATCAAAGAGAGTAAATAGCTCTAAGTGTTCAGATACTCCCTACTTACTCCCAGTGAGAACATTCATCACACAGGAATGAAACATGTCTGGACTTTTGTCTCTTAATAACTGAAGTTACAGCTCAAGAGCAAATTAACCTAAGCCTTTTTACATTCATCTATCATAAGATATCAGTTATTTATATTTTAGCTAGCTGCAATTTCACTAGGCAATTTCATTCCTCTTCTTCAAAAACAAAGCACGGTTATGTACAAATAATTATAATAATTAATATTCCTGGCATCAGTGATTCTCCAATCACCACCACTAGTCACTCTCACTCGTACAAAGAGTATGTACGATATTTGCCAGGTCTTGAGGCTGAAAGTTTATAATCACTATTTTATAATAATAAAATACAT